TAGCATTTCCTCATAAAGTTGCTGTGAGGACAAGATGAGCTAATACATTCTAAGTGACTAGAACAGTGCCTGGCACATACGTAACTGTAATAAAGGATCTTCATCACCATCATCATCATTACTGTCATTCAGGGTTGGGGTGGTCAAAGAGGGCTCCATGATAAAGAGGAACTTAAGTCAGACCTTGAGGGGCAAAGGGTCTTCCAATGGTATAGTGGACTGAGTAGTGTCCCTCAAAACTCATGTCCCCTGAAACCTCAGAATATGTACCTCATTTGGAAATAGGGTCTTTGCAGATGTGATTAAGGTAAGGATCGAGATGAGATCATGGTGGATTGGGGGGCCCAAAATCCAATGACAGTGTCCTTGTAAGAGTCAGAAAAGGACACACAAGGACACAGACAGAAGACAGTCATGTGAAGATGGAGCAGAGATGGGAGTGATGCAGCCACAGCCAAAGAACCCCTGGGGCCACCAGGAGCTGCAACAGGCCAGGAGGGATCTTCCCTTGAGCCTTGGAGGGCACCTGGCCCTGCACACCCTGACTTCAGACTCTGGCCTCTAGAACTCGAGAGAACAGATTTCTGTAGCGGTAAGCCACCAGGTGTCTGGGGAGCTGTCAGAGCAGTGCAGGAAGCGGATGCGGCAGGGCAGACAGGAGGGGTACGCTGAGAACCTTACGCAGGAAGGAGCAGCTAAGTTCAAAAGGAACACGGAGAGTGAAATTTTTGGTGAAAATGAGGTTTGTGTGATTTAGGGCAAGACAAAGTGAGCATGGATGTCTCTGGAGGGCCCCTGTGTTGAGGGGGCCACATTCTCCTGGCCCACTCCCCACCTGCAGTGGGGTGACCCTCCTTACCCAGGCTTGGCTGCGCTGGGCCCACCTGGGGACAGTGGATGTCACAGGATTAACTCAGAGCACCTCCTTCCCGGAGCAGTGGGGCACTCCATGTGACCAAGATGAAGACCACCTGTGTTACTGGTTAGAAAGCAGAACTAGCCAGTTGTTTGTGTTTAAAGGTGAAATAAGGGCAGATTTGACTCAGGTGGATTAGTTTCCCAGGGCTGCTGTGACAAGTGGGTGCCTCAAAACTCTGGAAATACATTCTCTCACAGCTCCGGAGGCTGGGAGTCCAAGTTCAGGTGTAGGCGGGGCCGTCTCTCTCAGGAGGCTCTAGGGGAAGATCCCGCCTGTCTCTCCGGCTTCTGGTAGCCTCAGGAAATCCTTGTTTGCAGCTGCAGAAAATCTGCCTCCATTGTCCTCACAGGGCTGTCTTCCGGCTGTGTCTCTGTGTCTCTTCCCCTCTTTTATAAGGACACTGCTCATATTGGAAGGAGCCCTGGTGGCACAGTGGTTAAGCACTTGGCCTAACTGAAAGGTCAGCAGTTCAAACCCACTAGCTGCTCCACGAGAGAAGGATGTGGCAGTCTGCTACCATAAAGATTTACAGCCTTAGAAACCCAGTGGGGCAGTTCTACTCTGTCCTGTAGGGTCTCTAGGAATTAGAATCGACATGATGGCGTTAGGTTTTGTTTTTTGATACTTACATTGGATTAGACCCACCCTAGTCGAGTATGACCTCATGTTAACTGGTAAGATCTTCAGAGACCCTATTTCCAAACAAGATCCCATTCACAGGTACCTGGGGTCAGGACTTCAACACACCTTTTTGGAGAACACAAATCAACTCCTAACATCGGGGTAAATCTGCTTTGCAGTAGACCCCAGGCCACAAGGGGGTGGTCCTCTCCGTTCTGTTGTTAAAGGTATTTTAATGGAAAAGTTCGAGAATCACTCTCTCAGGAGAGGGGGGCGTTTCTGTCCTGACCTTGGCACCCAGCCCCTTCATTGGTAACCTTGAGAGCTAAAAGGGGAGACAGCTCCTTTCCACAGCTTAGGGCACGTGAGCGCAAACCTATTTTTCACCAGGGCCCTGGATGTGCCAAGTGCATTGGGGACAGCTGAACCATCTGCCACCAACACCAGGGGCTTAATCCAAGCAGATGAGATCCACACCAGATGCACTGAGCTGTGTAAACCCCCGAGAGAGACACCCCACAGCCAGGCCCTGTATTTGTTCCATCACAACAGAGCTCCCTATTCCATCTCCATCTTGGGCCATCCCAGGAGACAAAGCTCTGGCTACGTGGTTTTGAGCACCTTACCCATGGACTGAGGCAAATCTTTCACTTTTGAAGGCTTGAGAACCTGGCAGGTGGATAGAAAGTGGGGTCTCTGTCCTACCCTCAGCAGCCCCGCTGGCACAGTGGTTAAGCGCTTGGCTGCTAGCTGAAAGGTTGATGGTTCGAACCCACCAGCTGCTCCACAAAAGAAAGATGTGCAGTTGGCTTCCATAAAGATTTACAGCCTAGGAAACCCTATGGGACAGTTCTACCCTGTCCTGTAGGGTCACTCTGAGTAGGAATCGACTCGATGGCACAGGACAACAGGCTTACTCTCTGTTGATTATTACATTATTGATCACATCGCTAATACTCCCTTTTAGATCACGCTGTGGAACAGTGGACATCCATGGGAACCTAAGTGTTAATTTTTTGCAGCTGGATGGGGACCCTGGACTTGCCTGTGAAGGGTCTATACCAGTTCTTCTCAAACTTTGCTACATATTAGAGTTTTGAAACCTCCTTGCCGAGGCTGCTTCCATACCAGTTAAATCAGAATCTCCGGGGCTGGAGCCCAGGAGGTGATGTTCTTAAAGATCCACAGATGATTCCACCATGCTTTCTTCTGGATGGGGAGCGGCTGAGTGAGCCCTGACCCCAGGCTTGCTGGCCGGCAGGGTGGCCTACTTCGGAAGGTGATTCATTCCATCCATGGGTGAGATCTCATGTGCCAGATTCAGCGTGGGCAGCAGCCACCCACGCCTGGGTGCTGACATTCAACAGCCACACACGAGGGCCCCTGGCCTCCCTGGCAGGGCTCCCCGCAGCCGCCCAGAAGGCCAGGCCTTAGAACCTTGAGGTCAGGGCTGCTGCCTTCTGTGTCAGCCCTGGAAGGCGGGGTGCCTGTGGCCACTGGCATCACTTCCCCAGGTTTGTGGTGGGAAAGGGAGAGAATATATGGGTTTATCTGCCGAAGGAAAGGGGAACAGGAAGAAGAAAGAACATCAGGCTAAGGCAGCTCTGACGCTTGCTGTCTCCAAAACCAGGCCTGGATACTGGCCTTTGACAACCACGGCACAGCTGTCTGTCCTTATAGGCCGATAGGCCGTAGTTCAGTTGGAGACTGAGAGGAGACCCTCTGGGAGCTTCTGGAATTTTCTTTCCATCACTTAAATCTTTTTTTGTAGGTGAATTGAGAGCAATATGAGCTCTAGACTTAGATGGACTTGGTCCCAGTCCCTACTCGGCTGCTTCCTAGCAGTGGGACCACGATCATGTTTCTTAACCTCTCTGAGCCCATCTCCTCATCTGTAAAATGGGAGTATGTACGTAGGTAAGGGAAGGCATGTGAAAGTACCTAGCCTAGTGCTGTTATCAGGATCCCTGAGGACAGAGCAGGGCAGAGGCCGGGAAAGACGCTGTGATGGAAATGGAGCGAGGGCAAGGCTGACCTCTGTGCTAAGTGGTGGGGGTCGGGGGCTGGGGCCAGTTGCCAACCCAGCCACGCCAGCGCCTGTTGGCAACGGAGCTTGCCCTTTTAGTGGTTCTGTTGTGGGGGGAGGTAGGAGGAGGAAGTGACAGCGTGTTGCTCCGTGTGACGTATCTCCCCCCGAAAGGCTTGCTGAAGGGAAGAAGTTGGGGGCAAGGTCCGTTGTGGGTGCCCTTTTGTGTTCAGTTGTTTGTGATACTGTCAGATTCTCCCCCCAAACCCAGACACCCACAGGATGGTGTCCCTCCTCTCGTCATGCTGTGGGGCTGCACAAGTCACCCAGCCTCTCTGGGCCTCAGTGTCCCCATTTGCCAGAGGAGAATCCTGACCCGCCCCGAGTCTGGTAGATTTTCTAATATCAGGCAAGTTCTGGGTAGGTCTGGACCAACAGTTCCACCAAACTGTTTTCTGCACCCCCAGCCACATCACACGGGGCAGCGTGTAGACAAAGCCAGGCGGAGTGGCAATGAACTTGAGGGAAATCCAGGGAGCTGGTGCAGAGGCAGAGCTGCTCAGACCTCAGGATTCGCTCCTGAACTTCCTCTACATGTGAAGGACATTGACCCCTCAACCTCATTCCTCCCTTATCCTTCCCTGGGAAGAGAGGGCATTGGGGGAATGCATGAGAAGAACGTAGAAAGCACACAACACAACCAGGGTGTCCACTAATACGTGAGCAGATAAACTGTGGTGTGGCCATACAATGCAGTGTCATTCAGTGATTACAAAAAAGAGTTAGCAAGCTATAGAAGGACATGGAGGAACCTTTAATGCACGCTGCTAAGTGAAAGAAGCCAGTCTGAAAAAGCTACATGCTGTGTGATCCCAACCCTGTGACATTCTGTTAAAGGCCAAGCTAGATAAAAAAAGATCAGTGGTTGCCAGAGTTTTGGAAGGTGGGAAGGAGCGATGAAGAGGTGGAGCCCAGGGCATTTTTGGGGCTGTGAAACTATTTTGTGTGATCCTGTGAGGGTGGACACAGGACATTTCTTTGCATCTCCCAGAGCAACTAGCAGCATTGTTTCCATAGCAACCCTCAGGAAGCAGACTTAGCTCTGCTGAGTCTGCAGATTCAGAGTCAGTGCCTAGTGCCAGGCACCTTCACATTGGTCTCAACAGCCCTGAGAGTCGGTATTATTCCCATTTCACAGGTGAGGAGACTGAGGCTTAGAGTGATTTAAATTACTTTCCCAAGGGTAGCAGGCTTAGGCAATGGCACAGGTGGGACCAGACCGCACTGTTCTCACTCTGCGTCTATGCAATTCACTTCACTGTGTGGGGCCGGTGCTCCCTTCTCGGGCAGAGAGGCCTTTGGGAGCGTGTGGTTGTTGCCCTTCTCAGCCTGAGAGCCACTGTGCACTCACCCCCACTTTGGTGTACGTTGCAGAATGTCTGTAAACCTGCGGAGGAGCCCCGGCAGCCGCCCACACTGCAGGAGATCAAGCAGAAGATCCACAGCTACAATAGCCGGGAAAAGAACTGCCTGGGCATGAAGCTGGTGAGCGGGGCACCCCTCCCACCTCCACCCAGTCCCTACAGCCCTTTGGTTTGGCTCATCTCGGTTCTGTGGTAGCTCCATTGCGGGTCCCTCCCCTTTCTTCTGGGACTTGGGGTGGGGGATGGTGCAGGGAAGGCTGTCAGCCTGGGCCCCCCCCACCCCCCACACCCCCGTGAGCTTCGGGGAAATAGAACAGGCTTCAGAGTAGAATCAGGATCCAATTCCTGGCTCTCCCACTTTTTTGCTCGTGACTTTGGGAAATTTTCTGAACTTCTCTGAGCTTCCATGTAAAATAGAGATATTACTATCCATCTGCCCGAGATCTTGTGGGAATTAAACAACATACAATATCCAAGAGCCTGGTGTGGCTTGACCCCCAGGAAGCCCAGGACATGGAGAGTTTGCAGCTCCTCCCCCTGCCTCCCTTGTTTTTTGCACAGTTACTGTCTGTGCCTTAGATTGTGGCAGTGCTCAGAGAGGGGAGGGCACCCAGTTTTGTGCCAGGTCCCAAAAGGCTGGCTTCAAACAGGGAGGGGAGGAAATGGTAGAAGAAGCCTGCCCCCCGCTGGTGGCTGGTGGCAACTGGCTCTGAGCGGCTTCAAGCCTAGTAAACCCGCTGCGGTGGAGTCAGTTCTGTCTCATGGCGGCCCCGTGTGTTATAGAGTAGAACTGCTCCATAGGGTTTGCTTGGCTGTAATCTTTACCAAAGCAGATCTCCAGGCCTTTCTTCCACGGTGCCGCTGGATGGGTTCCAACCGCCAACCTTTCAGTTAATAGTTGAGTGCAAACCATTTGTGCCACCCAGTGACCCTAGGTAGGGTGCCAGAAAATCCAGTTGCAAACGGCCCTGGATTTAATCCTTACTAACGGTGGGTTCTTTGGAAAGAGATGCAAGAGGATATCTAGTGCTCTGAGAACTGTATTAGGCAGCCTTCCTACTTCTCTCTGGAGAGGGGCCCCAGGGAGCAGGAGACAAGAGAAATGTTTTGTTCGGAGGTGTGAACTAAAGAGGGCACACTCCTGATCTCTTAGAGTGGGGACTCGCCAAGGGCAGTCGGCGTCGCCTGGCGACAGGAGGTTTGGGGCAGGAGCCTGAGCCCCTTGGAGGAAAAGCCGTGGAAGGCCTTAGAAGTCCTCTCTGGTCGCTGGATACCACGGGCCTTCTCCTGGGCCATGGCAGGATGTGTGTCCCCCTCCAGCATGCCCAGACCAGCAGAGGCAGAAAGGATGGGATGACACTGTACATTAGGAGAGGCCTCCACAGCCTCGGGGACAGTGGCCCAGAGTGGTAGATACGGTCATGCAAGATGGAGCCTGCCCCGACCCATATGACACCTTCCCCCCGGCAGAGCGAGGATGGCACCTACACAGGTTTCATCAAAGTGCATTTGAAATTGCGGCGGCCGGTGACCGTGCCGGCTGGGATCCGGCCCCAGTCCATCTATGACGCCATCAAGGAAGTGAACTTGGCGGCCACCACGGACAAGCGGACGTCCTTCTACCTGCCACTCGATGCCATCAAGCAGCTGCACATCAGCAGCACCACCACGGTCAGCGAGGTCATCCAGGGGCTGCTCAAGAAGTTCATGGTCGTAGACAATCCCCAGAAGTTTGCACTTTTTAAGCGGATACACAAGGATGGGCAAGGTATGAGCGTGAGCTCCCAATCGGCCAGACTTAGGTGGGAGGAGTGGGTTCTCCCCTCCTAGACTCAGTGGTGGGGAGGACGGGAGTCCAGCCATCCAAACGGCACTGAGATGTGTGCAACAGCCACACGTGGATTCTGGGCAGAAACAAGAGCAGAGAGCTGGGCAGGGCAGCCCCTAACCCCATGTGGGCCTTCAGGAAACCACACCGTGGGCTCCCGTTTGTGTAACGGGGAGAGTCCGCCCTGCCATCCTAACCTACTGGGAGATAATATGAATGGAAACATTAAACTCTGAGCAGACACCCAAGATAAAAGGATATTACTGTACTTTCCTGTCAGGTTGACTTCATTAGCTTGAAAGGACAGCCACTTCCAGTTATAGCTGCCCTGACCTCAGCTTTTCCAATTCCGTCCCACCCACCCTGGGCCTGCCCTTTTTTTCCAAGATGAGCTCCAGCCCCCTCTCTTGGTTTGCAGTGCTCTTCCAGAAACTCTCCGTGGCCGATTGCCCCCTCTACCTGCGCTTACTTGCTGGCCCTGACACTGATGTCCTCAGCTTTGTGCTGAAAGAGAATGAAACCGGAGAGGTGGAGGTAAGCCTGCACCCTTTGCTTCTTGCACAAGCCCAGCCCCAGGGCATGCTGTCCTGACCACCTGGCCCAGGTGAGACCAGGCGCAGCAGCTGGGAATGACTCCGACAAGGTTGAGCTGGGTGAGTGCTGGTCCAGAAGGTTCATTGTAAGCCAGGACGTAAGCATCCTGCGGTAGCAAGTCAGGGCCTGTGTCTGGCAAGGCCTGTGTCTGGCAAGGCCTGTGGGAAGAAAGGATTTCATGTGCTTCAGTGCTGAAAACCCAGGGCAGAGGGGACTGAGAAGCTCCCTGCCTTCAGGCCCAGGTGGCTTCCGCTGCAGGACGGTGTGAGAGCCAGCCAGCTCCGTCACAGGGCGCCACTGGGTCTAGATCATTTTGAGCTATCCTTCTCTCCCCGGTCCTTAAAAACTAGCCTCCTTCCCCTAAGGGGACCTAACCGGTATCCAGTCTCGTGGTGTAAACTGGGGGAACGCCAGGCCAGTGGAGTCATTAAGATGTGACCGCGAGCAGGGCAGGGTCCTGACCGTGGTGCCGCAGCCCAGCGTCAGTCACACTATACTCAGTGGGTCGGGGGTCTTGAGGTCACCGTGGGGACCTGGGGGAATCTAGGCAGGTGGGGACTGCCTCCTCCCCCTTCAGCCAGGGCAGCTCTGTGTCCACCTGCTTTATATGTTGGAGTCCGTGGAAGATTTTGTTAGGAAAACCATCCACTGAAAATGTTTGAGCACTGCGGGCCTGGTGGAAGCACGTGGCCCAGGAGTTTGCTGGCCTGGGTTCAGTTCTGTTGCCACAGCTCTGTGATCATAGGGAAGCCTAAGCCACCTTCCCACTCTGGGCTTTGGTTTTCTCATTTTTCCAACGTGGGGATTAAACCTATCAACCTTAATGCTCCTTTGTGCTCAAAGAGCTTAGGAGTCTAAATCTCTGACCCCCTGGGGGCCTCAGCCCCTGGGTCAGCCGGAAGGAAGTCAGCCTTATTCCCTGAGAGGCCAGGTCCCTCTCTGGCAGGCCTGAGCCATCTGGGCTCTCCAGGGCTCTCCAGGTTGCATTCTCCCATTATCCCCTGTGGGCCATGGGAAATGGATACTTTAATTCCACAGCAGACGAGAAAAGGGCCAGGAAGGATGGAGTGCTGTGCTCAGGGTCACAGGGCTGGTGAGACGTCGGGACCCTGGTGCTGATCATCCCAAGGCAGACACAGGGAACAGGCCAGTGGGGGGCCTGGGGCATTCCTAGCACCACTGTCAACATCTCAGCTGCTATGAGAACACTTAAGATTGTTGATTCTCAAAAGCACAGTCACGAGATGCCAGGATTTGAAATTCTGCTGCTGGAATGACAGAGATGTGAGACCCAAGCATTATTCATTATACTTGCCTTTGCATTAGCAAAAGGAGACCTAGTGGTGCAATGGTTAAGCACGCAGCTGCTAACTGAAAGGTTGGCAGTTCCAACCCCCGCAGTGGCTCTGCAGGACAAAGACCTGGTGATCTGCTCCCATAAAGATTACAGCGCAGAAAACCCCACAGGGCAGCTCTACTCTGTCACACAGGGTCACTAGGAGGCAGGATGGACTCGATGGCACCTAACAATGACAACATTCATTAGCACACTGTCCAAATCACAGATGCAGACTGGGTGAAGAGAGGTGGGAGGGCCCTCAGGTCACGCCAGCTTCTAACCTGTCTCTCCTGTTTCTCCCCGACGTCTCCTTCTTGCCTCGCAGTGGGATGCCTTCTCCATCCCGGAGCTCCAGAACTTCCTGACGATACTGGAAAAAGAGGAGCAGGACAAAATCCAGCAAGTGCAGAAGAAGTATGACAAGTTTAGGCAGAAACTGGAGGAGGCCTTAAGAGAATCCCAGGGCAAACCTGGGTAACCAGTCCTGCTCCCTCTCTTCCCCACACCCTTGGGTTTATTTTTATTATTAATTATTATTTGCAATGGACATTTTTTCTCAGGGCGCCTCTGGTGGGTGCGTGCGCTTGCCCTGCGGCCGCAGATGTGGCACAAAACCCCTTGGGTGGACAGCTTGCTGTGTGGGGGACCTTCCACCCCTCTGAGCCCCCTCCAGACTCCGCCAAGGGATCAGTGCTTCTGAAAAAGAACAACTGTTGTCCTCTCTCAACCTGCAAGCCTTTCACAAACCAAAGACTTGCCTCTCTCATCACCAAACTGGAAGCTGCCACACTAGCCGGCAAAGGAAAGACAGAGGCTTTCCAGTCATGTGTTCCTTCTCGGGCTTTTACTCTTTCTTCAGCGACTCTTACTTGCCACCTGCGGTAACCTTTATTTATGAGTCCAAAGTAGCATATTCCTTTTGCATGTCTGAGCTGAGCGCTGAAAGAGGAGAATGCTTCTAAAAGGATGGTTCCCCACTGCCCCAGGTGCCCGTTGTCCATGCTTAAGGGAAGGTCGTGAAGCCACTGGCCCCAGGTATTCAGGGCAAGGACCACCAAAGCTGAGGTTGGCTCAGAGTTTTCCAGAGAAGCTGCAGCCAGAGCCTGTGCCCAATAACCCCAAAGGCCTGTGTCTGCACAGGTTTTGTACCTGTTCACATCTCTGTCAACAACCTGTTTAAGTTACAAATTTAATACTGCCATCATCCTCGTGTTTTCCACCATTTTTAAAGTCTCCTGCTGAGTAAGGAAATCAGGCAGTTGGAGAAAGCCAAAACCTTGTCAGAGCTTGCATCAGCCTCCCCCAGGTAGAGAGCAGAGGAGGACCTGCGAGCCATGGTCCCCCTGTGGCCTCCAGCACCGCCTCCCTCCTCCCACAGGGGTGCTGGGTGCTTGGGTGCCGCCAGAGGAGCTGCCTTGATTAAAGAAAGGGGACCTCCAACGCGGCCACTGCGTAGCCCTTTCTGTTCCAAAGCCCGGGCCGGTCCACAGCACTGTATTCGGCCCAGTCTGAGAAAGGAAAGAGCCTGTGGGCCTGGCCTCCGCTTTGACCTCAGTGCCTTTTTTGTTTTCTGAGAGAGACAGGAGCAGGGCGTGTTGGCTTAATGCTCTGCTGCTGGCCTGCTCCTGCCAGGAAGTGGACAGCCAGCAGGTGGGAGCAAGGCCAGGAGGGTCCTCACCCCGAGGGTGGGCCGAGGCGCACAGACCTTCCCATCCGAGCTCCTGGGCTGTGACCCCACGTCAGACCATGTTGACGGGCACCTCAGGTTCCTGACTGTGCAGTTGTAGTGGCTTCTTGCTTAGGTTCAAACTTAAAAATAAATGAGCCAAACCACTCAAGCAAGTAGCCGAGACTGCAGAGACACTCCAAAGCAGAGAAGGGGTTTTCCTTTTCAAAGTGGGGCTGGTTTTCCAGCCCAGCCTCTGAGAGACCATGTCTTTGCTGTCCTCTGCCTTCAAGTCCCTCTCGGGTTGGCTCCAGCCGCAGCTTCCTTGTTGAGCCTCAAACGTTCCCTCCCTGAGGCCACATGGACCCTGATCACAGAAAAAATGCTGACCCTTGTCATATGGACAGTGTGCAGTCTTCAGAGCTGCGAAAGCAAGACAAACTAGCAGCTCTAAAAAAGATCTTTAGATCACAGAAGGCCTGGTTATCGCCATCTGCTGCTCAGCCTTACCACGTCCCTTCCTTCCAGAACTCCCTCTCCCCGCTGTGTCCTGAAGGAAGTGGGCAGTCATTTCTCCTTCCTCCTGCATGTCTCTCAACATTACAGAAGGCATGGCTCCTGCTGCAAGTGCTGTGAATGCTGCTGAGAACCTCCCTCTGAAGGGGACGGCTATTTTATTTTTGAAAAGGAAAAAGTTATGTGTGTGTGTATATATATATACATAAAGGTATATAGCTATATATAAAGACTTAAGGGTGTTTATGAAATGAGATTATGGGAAAAGTCAGATTTTATCTAAAGCACAGTTAGACCCAGGACTGTACTGAGGTGTAAGCCTCGAAATAAAAGTTGTGTATAAAGAACCCTTCCCTCCCAGAGGTGGGCCTCGCTGAGGTAGTGCCTTCAACTCGTGTTGCTCAGTGTGTGTTTGTTTTGAGGATACTTTCTAAGTGTCTTTCTTATATGGATTTTTAAAAAAAGTAATAAAAGCTTGTTGCAAAAATGATTTGTATTGGAGACTTCTTCCCTGAACTTCGCCATCTTACGGAAATGGGGAGCTGGGAGAGGGCGGGGACAGGGAAGGACACGTTCCCTGGCGGAGTCAGACTCTCACTGCCTGTCAGCAGAGAAAGGCAGGCCACTGTGCACATGGCTTTGAGAAAGGTGTCCAAATGCTTGGGCTGGAGGGTGCTGCCCGGGTGACTGGCTAGTCTGTATCTCCACAGGGCTGGAGCCAAAAGGGGACATATTACAGAAGGAGATGCCAACTTAGAAAAGAGGAGAGGCTTTCTGGAGCCCATGAACACGGGACAGGCTATGAGGTAAGCAATGATTCTTCTACTTCTGGAATTATTTAAAGATAGGATAGATAGGATTTGTGCCTTTGAGAGTGTAAGACTGCGTCACCTGGAGGAAGAGGGCTAGATCGATAACCTAACAGTTGCTCACTTCAGCAGTCTCTGACTTCTGCCAAAGGAACAGCTCCGTAATCATGGAAATAACCACATAAAAGTCATTAAAAAGGAATTCCTGGCTGCCTTGATCTCACACACACAGTGCAGTGACGGGGGCGGGGGGGCCCTCTGCGGGGGCTCATCCAGTCAACCGCCGACCTCCATGTAGGAGAGAACACCCTACCCCGCAGACATTCTTAAAATTACCCAGGAATGGGCCCATCTGTAACATTTGTAAACCTCCAAGAAGTACATCTTCCAAGAATTTCGCCAAAGCCTGGAAATGAACCAGTTTCTGCTTTTCCTTGAAACGCATATGGTTACAGCATGGATTAATAAATTCAGAGTTGTAAATTTTACCTTGATATACAAGTATGTGACTTAGCACAGCAACAAGACTCCACTGCACAGCCTAACTCTGCCGTGCTTCTCACAGGCTCACGTGGCGGTGTTCACAAAAGGGCAAAGGGACGATGACTCAATGCAAATGTGTCACTATTACTGGGAAAAACCACCCAAAGCACAGGCCTTGACAGCACTCTGTCACAGAACTCTGGGCTAAACCAGAGTTAGCGTAGATGTTCATTTCAGACCCAGTCCCGCCATTTATTGGCTTTGTGTCTTTAGCAGGGATTAACAAGGCAAGACATAACCTCTCTGGGCCTCCAAACCCTCCAAGAGTGTGCAAAACAAACCAGGTTTGTGAGAGAGCCTTATAAAGTGCTACGTTATCAGTATTCATGGAAAGACCGCATTTCGTCACTGTTGTCGCATGGAATCGGCTGACTTGTGGCGACCTGCTGGGTAACGGAACGGAACGCTGCGCGGTCCTGCGCCATCTCCACGGTGGCTGGCGTGTCTGAACCCACTGCCGTGGCTCTTGTGTCAGTCCGCCTCGCTGAGGGTTTCCCTCAGTTTGCTGACCCTCTCTACTTCACCAACCACAATGGCTTTTCTAGTGACTGGGCCTTCCTGACGATGTGTCCAAAATAAGCAAGTTTGCTTGCCATCCTCACTTAAAAGGAGCATTCTGGTTATAGCTCATCGCTACTTACACACATACTACTTACAAACTCTGGCTGTCCAAATGCTTTGTTGTAACAGAATCCCATTTGGGGTCAGATTTTAAAAATCTCTTTCCTAGTTCGGTAAGTTTATGGTTGTATAGGTAAGATTAGTAAAATTTAGGAGTTACTTATAGCAAATCACAAGTGAAAAGGCCTGTTCCGGGCCTGCTAAGGAAAGGTAGGCAGTGTTAGGAACACATTTTCACACCTAACCCTTTCTCCCTTCTCAGGCCCCCCGATGGGTAGCTTTACTTGTGTGAGCTTTACTTGCAGCTACAATTACGGACATTTCTCTTTTTAAGTTTTTCTTATCGGTTTTTTTTTTTTTTTTTTAAAAAGGTGTGATGAGAAAGAAAAAAGGAAGTTGAAGAAAGATTTTTTCTTCGTGGTAAAACCAAAAAACTTGTAAGGAATTCAGCTCAACTGACTGCCTATTGTACAAGGGGAGTGTTGGCTACAGAAATGAGATGCTTGAACAGATCAGAGTCTAGAGCAGTGGTTCTGAACCTTTTGGGCATCAAGTGGTCCCTCTGGGTATTTGGAAGCATGAGCCCTCTCTCAGGTAAATGATCACAAAATCTGGCACACAATTTCAGGGAGTTCATGGACCCACTGAAGACCAACTAGAGACCCCTTCCATGAATTCCAGGTTAAGAAGTTCAGGACTGAAGAAGGCATCTGTTGTATAAGACTCTGCACTGTCACAAAGCTGTCAACTTGGAGCCACATCACAAATTTACCATTGCTGGTGGCAGTGTGCCGAAGCTGGGGAAGAAGCTCTGTCATACAGAAACCCATGTCCTAGTGGGCTTCTATCATTTCTCATTTCTAGCTAGCCTAAATTCTGCTGCAATTAAGGGCCAATTCTTTCTTCTGTTGCTGAACTGATGACAGCTGGGTTGTTTCCTATATGAATAACCTTTCAGAGACATGAAGGAACTATTTCTGGCTTAGAGGTTAATAGGTATAGGAACAGATGAGCAAGAGGTTAATAGTAGGAACAGATGAGCAAGAGTCATGGAATAGTTGGTCAAGGGGCTTTAAAAACAGGAAGGCCCCACATCTGTGAACTTTAAATGGGCTGTGCTGCCTTGAAAGCAGGGGAGGAACCAAATAATTAAAACCACATGAATGGAAAAGGCACTCCACTGTCGATTGAAAACGCTTCCGACTTGAAAACTTCGTGCAACATTTAAACTAAGTGGAGGATAAAAAGAAATCAGATTTAGATTATAATAAAAATTTATTTTGGTAAAGAATTATATTTTTTATTAGCAAAAGCTGAAACCGCTCATATAAATTACCAGCCCCGAGCTTGGATTTCCGCTGGATCCACCGCATGAAACAAGAGTCTGTCACTTCTTCTTGCCAGGTTTGGGGGCTTTTTCAAGGCCTTGGATATGTTTTCGAGGGAGCTGATACTCGTCTACAATCCAAAAAGCAGAAACCCCTCAGCGGAAGGGCCCAGGTTCCCATCCTCCTGCCCCTCCGCCGCTTCCCCTTGGCCTCACACTCTCACGCGGTGGCCCCGGCCCCCGTGGGCCCCGATCCGCACAGCTAACCTGATCCTGTGCTCATCCCTGCTGTCAAGCCTCTGTTCAGACCATTTCCTGCTGCTCTTCTAACCCAGCTCAAAACTCAGCTTCTCAGGGAAGCCTCACGGGAAGGACTACGTATCGCTATACCTCAAGGCCAAAGTGTGCATTTCAGCAATTTCCACAGTGATAAAACACTTTCTAGGTGGACCTCAGGCAAGTAACATTTTCTCGTGAGAAGACAGTGTGTGTGTGCCTGTGTCAATCATGTGTACTTCTGTTTTCCTCAATATTTCTTCTTGGCACCTCACTGGGGTTCTTCTCATAAAGGGGCTCAACCCTAGACGCTAACTGGTGGGTCCTGCCTTGGGCCAAGCAATAAGTTTGCTTACTGAGCATTTACTATGTGCCAAGCACTAAGGATGAAAAAGGATGAATAAGGCCAGGTCTGTGCCCTCAAGGAGCTCAGCCTAGCAGGAGGTTCAGACATGAGTAGAAATTAACCCATTGCAGACACCACCAGAAACATGAACATCACTGGAAAGGCCTATATTAGCAATTTTTATATGCTGATTTAGGGTCACAAGGAAAAGTGAGACATGCTCCAGGGCCGGTTTCATGTGACCCCCTGAGCTGGGCCAATGAACCTCTAAGGTCAGGCAGACTCAGGTCACATGTACGGGCACTCTGGGCGAGGGAACGGCCCAGGCAGAGACTTGCCGCGTGGCAGTGCATGTGTAGCTGAGGACGGGCATGGAGACCAGCATGGCTGAGGCCTGGCCAGCGGTGGGGCTGCCCAGACAGCCGGGCAGAAGACTGGGGCCAGCCCGGAAGGGTCTTGTTTGTTGAGGTCAGGAGTTTATTCTCAAGGCACTGAAGAGACAAAGTTTTTGAGAGGGGTTGATGTGATCACATTGGCTTTAGAAAGCTGCCTCAGGCCAAGATGTGGAGGATAGTTTGAACTGAGGACAAGCTGGAGGCTGGGAGAGCCGGGGTTGGTGAAAAGAACTCAAGCTTGAGAGTGTGACAGCGAAGTTCAGAGCCCAGCCAGAGCACTCAACAGCTGATCTCAGGGCAGGGTACTGAGCCTCTCTGAACCTGTTTCCTCGTCTGCAACCCTGAGCTAACAGTTCCCGGTGTTGTTACGATCAAGAGAGACCACGTCCCTGAAAAGCTCAGCAAGGTGCCCAGCACAGAGGGTACTCAACAGCGTTCACAAAGGGAAGATGAGGACGGAAGTGGCTCGAATAGCATGGTGGAGAGAGCTCTGCACTCAGGATTGAAGGACGTGGCTCAAACACTGGCTCCACCCCTCGCCAGCTGGCAGCATCCCCCACCCTCTCACTTCCCTCATCTATGAAATGAGGACAATAATCCCCATCTTACTGTTCTCATGGGTTTGTAGAGTTTGAGATGGGACAGAACCTGGTAAAAACTTTATATGCAATATATAAAGTGGTTCTTTGATAACTGGGCTGAGGTGAGTTGGCAGGAAGATCTTTGCCAAATTAGACCAATGCCTCTTCTTCTCAGAGGGGGCGCTCACCGAGCAGCAGCTGGCTGAGGTGGTGGACCTGGTTTCCCTGGATCTGGACCTGCAGGCTGTCCTTGGCCCCAGGGGCAGGAGTGACGGTGGTGCTCGCCTGGCACCGCTGCTGGAGGATGGCGGCCACCGAGCACGGGTCCAGCCCATAGGCCTCCAAGTTCCGGACTATGGTCACCTGAGAAGAGAGTCGGGACAGAAGGCGGATGGTGGCTGCGGCAGGGCACCCCTCACCCCACCCCAGGGCCTTCCGGACAAGCTGCCTTGGCAGCCGCCTCCCTCTGTTCTCTGAAGTCTCACCATGCCTATAACCATGGTGCCTGTTCATCTAAATAACTTACCTTTGTGCTTCTAAGTTGATTCAGTCTACCCCATCCAATATATGTGTTAGATATCCCAGCCAATAT